AAATCCCCACTGTGCAGTGGTCAGAATTCCAAGACATTTTCAGCTTTAGGGCATATAGAAATTGACTTCATATTGATGCCTTAGCCAGGAACCGGAAAACTGACATTGTTGCATGCACTGTCTTGGCTCTTTGAATATGCTCACTCCCCGTTCTGTTCATAGGATATTCTGAAGTGATTATCACTAGCGGCACATTTTACTGTATTTCAGTGGCATGTATGCATTAAAAGGTTTCATTTTATTTAAAGACAAAAGAGAACTATCCCGCATGTCAATGATAAACAACAAACAACAATAATCTTGCAAAAATCTTCGCTACATGTCTGTGAAAATTTGCTAATTCTCGTGAAAATTAGCTGGGAACCATCATCCACACCATGTTAAATCATGGAAGAAATGGGCAGAAAATGCCCTTCTTTTTTCGATGATTGCGCTAATATTATATATTTTTTGCTCAATGTAAGATATAACTCAGATTACAAATTGACTAGTGGTGATGTTTCCCAAAGCACATCATCATATGGCGAATAAGTTGGCTGTGACGACCTTCGAAAGTTAGGGCCCTAATGGCAGGGCCCTAATTTCCGTGCACAGTCCAGATATATAGTGGTCTATGGTACTGTATTTGAAACAGCGCCAACAAACACAAGTTGACTAAAGGATTTTCCTCAGGAATTTACTGATATATTTGGCAGGGAAGAGGCAATGCTGATTCGATTTCGGCTGAATGATAATGTTTCATTATGGCCAAATCAGCCATTGAAGCCGAAAAGGTTAAATACTGTGTGACATGCAGATATGCAATTAAGTAACAGGATAATCATCCTTCTCATGCATACATAACATTAGAGTCCATTAGTCTACTAAGTTAAGTACAATTCATAGTCGAACCAGTTGCATAACAGACACTGCAATAAATTTCAGCTGTACCTCATCAGCCTTCGATCCCCTAATTATACAGAGTAGTACATCCATCTAGGAGGGTTTCACTAAGTCTTAGCCGTATATCAGGTTCCAGCCGAACACCATAAACTTCCGCGATACGACAAAAGCTAAATATGTACAATTAAACGCAATATAAAACAGTCATTCTATAAAAACAAACTTATTGCGGCCAATATAAGTTCATGTGTGTTATGTCAAGGCATTTAAAGTGTTACGAGCAATCGTTTAAGTCAAGCAAGTACCCTAGCATACCATTACATCTTCAGTATCTCCTTTCAATTTTCTACAGAAACCAAATCATGCCATAGTTGATTTCCCATCACATCCAGCTCGCTGTTTTTCCTAACTGACCCCATCCTTCATATCATTATCAACATTCCATATGGCAATAAACGTTCTTCATTCATAACCCTCCATCCCATCGACCTAGAGCCTGAAACCACTGACCATCTCCCGACCAATGCAAACGAAGTCGTCCGCTCAAGGTTGTATGCAAATGACCAAACGTAACCGACAGACCGACTGACCGACAGACAGACCGACAGACAGACCGACGGACTGACGCTGTTGGACTTCCACATAAGGTGACCGGTCGCGGTGGTGATAGTGATTTCCACCAGTGACAGTGGTGGTGCCCGGATCAGGCTCACTGTCTTTATAAGGGCATGCCTGAGGGAATGGGGGAGCAGGGGACGGGGGGGGCAGGGGAGCAGCGAGTAGCGAGAGAAAGAGGGTAAGAGAGTTTTAGAGAGGAAGGAGAGAATTGAAGAGCGTCGGAAAACTGCTATAAGAGCGTCGGTGGGTCTTTTATAAAAGGTCTTTTATAAAGACTTTTAGAAAAGTCTTTTATATGTACAGTCCACAGCAGAAGTAATGTGCGGTTTCAGGCATGGGTATGTTCTGCTTCTGAAGCTTAGGAACGATTAGCCAGACTACAATGAAACTTTGAATGTAGCTTATAGGTATCGTCACCCTTGCAGCTGCAATTTTAGCTATTGACATCTTCTTTTCGATCACTCCGCATTAAACAATCGCCAGTCAAAGCCAATCGTTGTGATTGGTAAAACCCTACATTACTTTAGCGGTGGGCTGTACATCCAGCAAAATCACTGAGGTAAGAATCTACTATACGACCTCAGCGCTTTGATTTATTTTGTCCGAATAGACGTAAATTGTATTTCATGACCATATTTTTCAGCGATATGTGAAGCACAAATGAGACAGAGAATACAACTTCCGTAACATCAAAAGTGATGGTAACTCAGCCATTTTTGCAGCTCGAGACATGTACCTCGACTTTCAGTCAAGTGCGTCAAGTCAATGGAGAAAAATGAAAATGCCTCTAGATCCGTGTGTACGCATAGGAACAGTCCAAATATTTCAGAATCACAATGATTTAGTCCACTCGTGATGACCAAGGTGTCATTTTTGCTGATAGCCTCTAGAAAGGTCATCCGAGGTCATTTGAGGCTACAAACAGTTTTTTGCCAATAACTCGCGATTGGAAAGAGATAGAACGCTGGGGATGGTCTCATTGTGTTTGTCTTGTTGAGACGCATTGACTGATATGCAACATGACCTTTTCCGGTCAGGTCATGACCTTGACCTGAGGTTAAATTTTTAAGTTGACCTTTCAAGGTCAACTTATAGTTCATTCGACGCGTCTCGGTGAGGGGAACACGATTCTGGCAATAGAAATGTCGTGGCTTTTTGTAGTCGAAAGTTATTGTCGAAAAACTCTTTTCGTAAAAACAGCTATTTTTGGAGTTTTTGCCCTCTGGAGGCTAAACTGTTGACCTGAGGACAATATTGATATGACCTTTTCAAAAGAAAAGTTCAAAAGCTATCGATTGCTTTTCCATGCGTTTTTCTAGCTACCATAGTTCCTGAGATAGCGGCATGTTTTCTGAAAAATATAATGACAATTGGCAAATTTTGACCTTTGATGACCTCTGGTGACCCCAATATTGCTCTAAGGTGAAAAATGACCGAAATACTTTCAAACGTACGTATCGAGAGCTATCGACTGCTTTTTACCGCGTCTTTCTAGCCCTCTTAGTTTTTGAGTTAGAGGTGGGTGGTAACATATGCCCCCCCTCACTAGGGCGAAGTTGGCCGAGACCGCCACTGGGGCGCGGGTTAATTTAGGTGGTACCAAAATCAAAACGGAGGAGAGCATTCATAAAATTAGGCACTTACCAGAATGCTAGCCTGAATCTTAAGACATCCAAGCAGCCTAATACCAATGGCAGTGGCAACGCTAAGCAAATATGAATACACAAAGGTAATTTATTGTGTCACCTACATGTCGCACAGCAAAACTTGATTCTGAAATTGCTTAACCACATGAACATGTGAATTCCAGGACAATTTCGTCACAATTGACTCATCTTCCAACCATCCATGAAAATTCATTACATAGTATCGATTCCCGTCAGGAAACTCAAACACCAAATAGAACGGCTTCCCCTAAACCGTCTGCAGTGACCGCCGCTGCACCCTGGGAATTAGACGCGATGCGCCGCGGCCTATACCTCCTCTGCCCCGCGTCTTTCCTCCTCATTGCGCGCAACAATCACAGGAAAACGGCCACTTTCCGGCGGAGGGGGGCGACACTGCACTTCGGGTCGTCTCCTATACGATAACTCAGACGGGGCTTCATGTGTAGGATGTGGGTTTTATGGAAGAGGTACATAACTCATAACCAGGCCAAAGGAATGACGTGAAATGATCATCACGCATAACTACATAGTACATGGGGTCTGATTGCCACATAACATCAATATTACATGCCATTCCACACACTTATTTAGCTATTATTTCAAGTGTGGGAAAGTCAGCTAAAGGGAAAGACGGCCCAATACCAAATTCTGAAGTTATTTGTTGCACGAATGGCCTTTTTTAAATAAATCACAAGTTTATCATAAATCATTCCTAAACAACAATGCCGACGAAGAACGAGCAGTCGAACTTGTGGAGAGAACACAATACCTTTACCGTTCGACACAAGAAAAGCACCACATTCGACCTATATTCCAGCACCAATGTAAATCAGTACAGTAACGACACGCAAGAGTGTCGTTACACGATAAAATGCCGTTGCATCACGGCACGTGACTCTGCAGGTGTAGGCTCCCCTATCTGATGGCATTGTGGTACTCAGAGCTGAAGGGCGAGGAACGTATCAGACTTGTAAATAACGGACAGAATATGCGGGGAGCTGAATTCGGCAGTGCATGTCACATACTGTAACGCGAGTGGGCACTGCACGAGTGAGCCCATTGACGGTTACTGGGTGCTTAAAACTGGCACGCTTGTGCAATATGCATGCTGTGCAGTACTGCTCCGTTTTGAATCTTTGGTAAATAGCTGCTTGTGCATCGTTGCTGATTTTGTTCCAAGCGTATCAAGGTTCAACAGCTTTCTAGGGCGATGGAACAGCACTGTAGTTGAGTTTCTAGCCTTATTCATGGTGTGTGTTACACATCCTTTCCAAGAAATCCGCATATCCGAGAAAAAAAAAAAAACAAGTAAGACGGAAAGTTACAGTAGTTCGCATTGCTTTATGGAAAAAGTTGTCGGGCGAAGGGGGCATGACACACTTTTGTAAAAGCTATTGGGTGTAAAATATTCAAAACTAACACTCGCATGTGTTAAAGTAGCCTTCATTTACTCTGGATTAAACTTTCGCGGTTGCGAAACGTAACATACCATTCCATAAACGTTGGTAACGTCTGAAACACATGACATGGCATCTGCATAAAAACAATGTGAATCAGCTGGTAACACTGAAAACGACGCAGGACCTTCGTCAGAAGTGGAACTGTAGACTGTGGATATTTATGGCAAAAAGCACATCACTCACTGTAAAAAGTCAGGCTTGCCAGGCCTTCAGACATTCTTTTATCATTTACTCCAGGTTATATTCTACATCGGGACCCAACGTTTACATCCTACATCGGGACAAACAATGGGGACGAATTCAGAAACCAAACAGCCCATACGAAGCAAATACATTCACACCACGAATATTCCCCGAAAACTGCCGTACTCACCGTTGAAATTGGTTCCGATGTGATCACGCACAACTGCGTGAGCAGCACTGACACCAGCACCACCTTCATATCTCCAGAGTTCACCAATCCTCCTCACCAATCACCAGCGGCACCAGTGGCACCAGGAAGTCTCACCAGGAACCGTTCGGTATTCGGCACCAAACGCGCACTGACCGACCGACCGACCCGCTATGAGCTCCACATGCAAACCGCACACCACACTCCACTGGCACAACTGGACGGGTTTCAACCGGGCCGCTCGAACCGGGGCTATGTCGAACCGAGGAGCTATGTCGAGCCGTGCTGGTTCAAAACGATTCGATGCTATGTCGAACCGATCCGCTATGTCGAGCAGGGGTTATGTTGGTTCAACACGACCCTCTGTTCGATGTCGATGTCTCGAGCCGGTGCTATGCTAGACGGGCTCTCCTCCCTCCCGCTCCGTTGGCGGAGTTCGACTGACTGACGACTCCTCGAGGACGACACTGCGGTGTGGAGGAGGGTACACCAGCACACACAGCGCCCCCTCGCGACGACTGCCGCCACCGCCGCCGCTGTGGTCGCAGGAAAACCGACGGTCGGTGAGCTACTACTGTACCGCTCCCGCCGCCGCCGCCGCCGCCGCCGCCGTCACTGCTGAGACTGCCCTGTCTGTTCAGCCTACCCAGCCGGGGCCATTCCAAACAGGCTTCGGGAATTCAGTATAAATAAACAGAATTAGGTGCTGTGTCGGACCACAAAACGACCAGACGGGCCTCGCTGGGGGGGGGGGGCGGGGGGGGCGGGGGCGGCGGCCCAGTCAGGATTCACATTGCGTGAGTGCGGCGTTCGCAAAAGGGCTATCGATGAACGATCAGCGATTCTCGGACACGCCATGGAGTGGATTCATACAGCAGGCGTCTGGACGGTCGGTATTTGGAATATCCGGCCTGTAATAACAAAAGGAGTGACATAGATCTCGGATCCGGAATTTGTGTATGTAGGGCTATAACCCCTGCGTTGCGCAACGCAATAACTCACGATTAAAGGGCACGAGAGTGGCGAATGTAAATATTTCTTCCACGGCTGTTATAAATGCTAGTCAATGGATCGGAAAGGGTCAACAAAGAGCTGAAGACGCCAGAAACTGACCACTTCGGGAGAAAGGTGGCTGATTTACGTAATTGTGTTTATTAGTTCTGACAGCAGGGGCGGATCCAAGGGGGGGGTCACATGGGTCATGGCCCCCCCCCCCTTGAGGCCCGGGGGCCCAAAGACCTTCCAGGGGCACCACCAGCCTATCAGGGGTATCACAGTCCTGACAGGGGCACCACAGGACCGCCAGGGGCACCACAGGCCTAGCAGGGACACCACGGGCCTGGTGCCCCTGGGCCCTGACAGGACTGTAACGCCCCTGACAAGCCTGAAGTGTCCCCGGCAGGCACGTGGTGCCCCTGACAGGCCTGAGGCGCCCCTGCAAGGCCGGTGGTGCCCCTGGCAGGCCTGTGGTGTCCATGGCAGGCCTGTGGTGCCCTTGCTAGGCCTCTGGTGCCCCTGACATGCTTGTAATGCCCCTGGAAGGACTGTGGTGCCCCTGGGCCCTGACAAGCCTGAGGTGCCCCTGACAGGCCAGAGGTGCCCTTGCTAGGCCTGTGGTGCCCCTGGCAGGCCTCTGGTGCCCCTGACAGGCTTGCGGTGCCCTTGGAAGGACTGTGGTGTCCCTGAGCCCTGACAAGCCTGAGGTGCCCCTGACAAGCCTGAGGTGCCCCTGACAGGCCCGTGGTGCCCTTGTTAGGCCTGTGGTGCCCCTGGCAGGCCTCTGGTGCCCTTGCTAGGCCGCTGGTGCCCCTGGCAGGCCTCTGGTGCCCTTGCTAGGCCGCTGGTGCCCCTGGCAGGCCTCTGGTGCCCCTGCGCCCGGGGAGGACTGGTGCCCCTGAAAAGTCTGAAGTGCCCCTCGGCAGGCCCGTCGTGCCCCTGACAGGCCCAAGGTGCCCCTGCGAGGCCGGTGGTGCCCCTGGCAGGTCTGTGGTGCCCCTGGCAGGTCTGTGGCGCCCCTGACAGACCTGTGTTGACTGGTGCCCCTGCTAGGTCACTGGTGCCCCTCACAGACCTGTGGTGCCCCTGGGCCTTGACAAGCCTGAGATGCCTGGCTATGACAGGCTCGTGGTGCCCCTGATAGACCAGTGGTGCCCTTGCTAGGCCTGTAGTGCCCCTGGTAGGCCTCTGGTGCCCCTGCTACCCTGCGCCCTGAGAGGACTATGGTGCCCCTGAAAAGCCTGAAGTGCCTCTCGACAGGCCCGTGGTGCCCCTGGGCCCTGACAGGCCCAAGTTACCCCTGCGAGGTCGGTGGTGCTCCTGGCAGGCCTCTGGTGCCCCTGGCAGGTCTGTGGTGCCCCTGGCAGGCCTGTGTTGACTGGTGCCCCTGCTAGGCCGCTGGTGCCCCTCACAGGCCTGCGGTGCCCCTGGAAGGACTGTGGTGCCCCTGCCCCTAGGGGTGCTCATGGGCCCAACAGGCCCGTTGTGCCCCTGACAGGCCTGTCGTGTATACTTGCTAGACCTGTGGTGCCCCTGCTTCCTGGCAGGCCTGTGGTGCCCCTGGCGGGCCTGTGGCGCCCCTACAAGGCCGTAGGTGCCCCTGACAGGTTTGTGGTGTCCCTGGAAGAACTTTGGTGCCCCTGACAAGCCTGAAGTGTCAAGGATAGACCCTTTAGACGCCAGGGTCAAGTTCGTCGGACTGACAACGATTTGCTTACCTGATAACGTTCCTGGTAAGTACTAATTACTCAGCGTCCACAACATACACATAGCACATTCATATATACTTGCTTACAATTGGTAAATGTGGTTGTGGCTAAGAGGTAAGATACTGACTAAAAATAAAAAATAAAAAAAAACTGAAAATGGGGGCACCACCAAAATGAAGTGGACGAAATCCGTTGAGTTTTTAATTTTGGGTATAGGTAGGGGCACCACTTCGATTCATGACCCTCCCCTTGGAGTTTTCCTGGATCCGCCCCTGTCTGACAGACGGTATACGAAATAACGAGAAGTGAACAGTCGCATGTGTTAGTGGAATATATTGCTGGGACGTAACGATTCATACCAAAAAGACAAGATACGTGACGTCTTGTGTCGACTATTGAGACAAATCTGACTATTCTTGGAGAAAATTTGGCATAATTGCGAGATTGGCTTTTGGGTCATTGAAACTCGAAATTCTCGAACATTTAAGGCAAGGCGCTACCCTAACTGTATTTACGGTTTCATTTTGCTTGGCGATCTAGGCAAGTGGAACTTCTTTATGGTAATAAGACGGCTACAGCAACGAAGACAAATGTTCCGTTCATGAGTACTCAAGCTCCTTTTTTGCTGTAGCATGACAGGTATAAAATTCGTTCAAATAAGTTTTCGTTTGGTACTTACAAATTTAGCAAGATGTGTAGTAACTATGTGAAAGATTTAAGCCAGCAAACACTGACATTAAGCTAAGTCACAAAAGTTGAGAAACATTTGAGCTATTTTAGCCCACCATCTCAACTCTGACTCATATTTGCATGCCGACTCGTGTCAGAATTTTCCAAACCATCGTCTAGCAAAAACCACTTCCACTTCTGTGTCCGGTAATGCCTTCCAGTACCACGGAGTGCGTTCACTTCAGATCCGTCTTTTCTCCTCAAAAGCGGAAGTACCTCCCATCATGCTTCCCTCGCAGGAAATGAGGAAACATGTGTATCTCCGTAAAAGGAAGCCAGAAAGGAAGCGAAGCGCGTTTGTTCATACGAGTAATTCCAGAAGACCCTGACGTCAAATGATGAGCAATCCGTATGGCGAATTACAGACGGTTCATTGGTGATGATTCATAGTAAAAAGCTTTGTGAAGGACAAAGCCAATGGGTACCGGTGACGGTGACTTAGGAAAACACGGCCGCAAGCTCGTAAATCGAGGCATCCTATTATTCATTGAGGTGGAGCAGTTTTGGAACGCTCTCTTACCAAAACGGTGATCGGCGGCATATTTTGGCCGCCCCACACTGGAACTCGCATGCGGGTTGCGGGTTTTTGGGTTTTCGGGTTTCTTCAAAATTAACCCGGCAGTTGCTGGGGTATTTCGCCACCCATCGTTTGCTGGGGGGGGGGGGGGGCGTTAAACGCCCCCAGCCGATAACTCGAGAACCAATAGGCGCAGCGAAACGCACGAGGCGGCAAACGAAAGAACGCGACGAGACGCTTCAGATGAGTACTTTAAAGTTGAATTTTGAGGTCACAGGTCGGGTCAAGTTCAGGTCAAACACCTGAAATCGGGCTTTCAGTAGCTCATGGACTTCAGGACTTCGCAATGGGCGCCTCTCGTCATAAACTCTGTCAAAACGGTGCACAATCCATCATATAAGGCCTACAAGAGTGTTAGCTCCATGTAGGGGTCAGTCAAGCATAGGTCAAGGTCAAGGTCAGGTCAACCGGGCAGGCACATATCCCCGAAAATCAAAACTGATATTCGCAGCCTGTGACACATGTTTTATGGGCAATTTGGGGCGTAGAACACGATGGTGGCATTCATTTTATCATATGTGTACGTGTTTGGCTAAAAAAGTTCAATTTAAGAAATGCATGTATCATGGTCGTGAAGTAGTCACGACAAATTGCCAAGATTCAGTTCAAGATTTTGGAAAATGCGGAAGGATAATCAATAATCGAATATAGTCATTTGATTGTTCATGGTATTGGCAGTCTAATGGCGTTTACGGCATGTCTGTATGTCTATTCTGTGATTTTATATGATTTTTTGAACATATGCCGTTTTTGGTCGAAAATTCAGAAATCATGACGTCACTAAAAACTCGATATCTCAAAAATTTTCCGACCGATTTTTTTGAAACTTTGTCACAATAAGCTTCAATCAATTCCCTACAGGTACTTAAAATTTGGCGCGCCTGCGGCGCGCCGTTTTTATGCTATGGCCCGGCGAAAAAAGTGGGGGCGTTTAACGCCCCCCCCCCCCCCAGCAACTCGCGGGTTAAATAACACAATATATGCTGAGCGACCCACACTACCATCTAACAAGCGAGTCTCCATGTTCTTAGCTTGGGAGCCACCTTGCATCGCATTCCAAAACTTGATTTTGAGTCAACATTCGATTTTCCTCGCTGCGAGGTCTGCGAGTTCTGCGAGGTTTGCGGGTTTTTCGTTGGAGTCGATTTTGGTTCGTTACGCTGGTATTGCGACTATATGTAATTTTCTGAAGGTGTACCGGCTTCACTGCAATCATTAAGTTAACATGAGGGAACGGTCTAATCACTATAAATCAGTATCATGCCCGCAAACTCAAAACCCGCAAACTCGCAACCCGCATGCGAGTTCCAGTGTTGGGCGGCCAGGAAGGAATACATATTATCGTACCGTCCTGGGTACTGTCCTGGAAAAGCACGCATTTGTTGTTGATAGATTGGAGAAGGTTCGTCGATCCGTGTTTTGGATCATGCTTCTGGCTCACAAAAAGGTGGAATAAGAAGAACTTAGGGGCGCATCTATTTTACAACACGCTTGGTGACTTGTAATTCATCGAGGTCATTCAAAACTCTTGAATTGTATTTTATTAATCAAATGCCGTAAGCTTACAAAATAACGCCGATAGACCCATGCACTTTACGCGTAAAGAGATAGATCTCTAAACCAAGAAACGCAACACTAAACATACATTATATAAACACCACTTCGTTTAGAATACCCCCTCAGGAGCAAAAGTTGTAATCTTGGAACGAGTCTATACTAATCCCAATAACAAACCCGTACAAAAAACCCTGATGTGTCTTTCATGAACAGCCCGGACTATAAAAGATGAGACAATTCTTCTCAAACATTGCACGTAGGCACGTCGAAAAATCTCCCAGAACTTTCAAGCTAAAGCTTCCAGAAACCTGCCAGATCTCAACTTCCTGAAAGCGACCAGAAAGCGTCTCTCAGAAACCGTCCACCTCCTCCCAGTCTCCCACAAATCGCCTGGCTTATAGCTTTCAGAAGCCGCCTAGCCTCTAACTTCAGAAGCCGCCTAGCCTCCAGCCTATAAAAGCCTTCTATCCTTCTTCCTCTTAGAACTTGACGCAGACGGTTTTCCAGTTGGTGTAGAACTCTATGCTCTCCCGCGTCGACTCGGCACCGATGCCGGAAAGCTTGATTCCCCCGAACGGCATGTCCAGACTGCGGACCAGCCAGCAGTTGTTCCACACGGTACCCACCTGAGGCCATGTCAGGTCAGAGGTCAAGGTCATGCGCTACTAGCGAGAGAGGTGCTGAAGGGGAAGAGCGGTGCAAGCGAATAGCGGTAAAGATAAAAAGCTACAGAAGGCAAAAGATTATGTGGCGGTATTGTTGTTGAAACAAATGCGACTCAATATGCTGAATGCTGTAACTGCCAAGTGCAAATACCAATAGAATCCGTAGATGTTACGCTTCAAAATTTTATCTCGGAGTAAATTAAAGTTTTTTTTTTTGCTTTTTTTTTTGCTTCGATTACCATCAGAAGATCAGTACTGGTCAAAAGAGAATAAAAAACGGTAAAATATTCTGAAGTTGTGGATATCAAGGCTAATAAACCAGTAGGTATCGTGCTTTTATGCCTAAATATGTACAGACACTGTAACTGACAAAACGTTACAATGACACCCGCTCTTGATATGACAGCTAATGACTTCAATCCTGAATGTAGGTACATGTAACTGGGCAGCATTCGTGGTTCTTATTTATTACGTGTGAAGTAATATACGGGGAAAATAGATGTAACAGTAAAGCTGCAAATTAAGGACAGAACAAAGATAGAAAGAGCCAAAGTAGCAAAAAAAAAAACGAGTACCTAACTAAAAGAGACAAAAGCCATAAAAGCAAACATAACACAAATCAAAGCAAACATAAAACAAGCAGAGTCAGCTACCTCATTTCACTACCAAGGGTTGCCATAGAAGCACCCCCCCCCCATCTGGTCACGTGACTGACCTGGAGCTGCTCCGACACCCGGTGCACGGTGGACAGGCTGGAACTCCACACGGAGGCGCAGAGACCGTACTGTGTGCTGTTCACCCGCGATATCACCTCCTCCTCCGAGCTGGAGAGAGCGAGAGAGAGAGAGAGAGGGGGGGAGAGGGGCGTGGCGAGAGTGAGAGGAAAACGACAATATTTCGCTATTTTCAGACACTGCATGAGGAGAGATTTATTATATACCCCTCCCCCCAATGATCATCGGCCCCGTGGTGTAACGGTTAGCACTCAGGACTCTGAATCCTGCGATCCGAGTTGAAATCTCGGCGGGACCTGTCCAGTATCGTTTTGAAAGAATACCTACAGATAATTGAAGATACACCCGGGGCATTCCACGTCAAATCGAACAAAAATCGGCTGTTTTGCACCGTACCATCAGCGATTTCATTTTAAATTTGTGAGCGAGTTCCTGTGTCGCCCCGGACATTACATTGATGTTTTTTGCACATTATGACCACAGGTCTTCTAAATATAGGGCATCAAATTTTTACAAAATGTTGCATCTTTATATTTTTGAATGACCATAACTTTGGTTTTACTTGTTTGATTTGAATGAAATAAACCTTACCGTTTAGGTAATTTCTTAAGCATTTGTTTAGAATTGCATCGACTTAAATATATGACCTTGAAATTTGCTTAACTCTGTTCTTAAGCACAAAAATTGAAATAGCAAAAAACACGCCACCTTCGATTTGGCTCATTTTCATATATTTTATTGCCTACCATATTCTTAACAACCTGTGAAAAAATTAGAGTGGGCCATTCATAAGTTTTGAAGAAAATGGCACATATGCAAACGTATGTTAGCACGCGCAGTGGAGGGGGAAGAGTGAATTTCGCCCCACCCCTCCTGTTTTTCGCCAATATCGCATAATATTGATGCGAAATTACTTATGGATACCTGTCCAGAATTGAATTGCACATCTCATCGTGCAAGCAATAAGAAAATCGGTTCACAACTGTTCTAGTAATAGCGGTGTAAAGTGAACATCCTGTCGCCGCGGCGACGCGGCGACTCGGCAGCCGGCGCCGACCGCTACGCGCCGCCTGAATTGTAGACTGTGCCGGGACGGAACGGAACGGTTCCATCTTTACATCGCGCTCCTTACCGCTGATTATGTTCGATTCGCGTCAAATTTTGTGAGAAGACTAAGAAATGTACAGGCAATCTTATGGTGAAAGAATTCTGAAAATAGGTTGGTAAACAATTGAAATATGAACGTGTAAACACAAAATTGTGACTGCTGCGTTTCCCGCGTCGGCCGATCCCTCCCCAGCCGACGACATGTTACTCTTAGCAGGACTCTAACTGCCATATTTATTATCGGATTAACTAGAAATTCCCCATACGTACTCAAAAATGTATGTGCTTTCGTATAGTGAAGATCAAAAGACGTGAAGATATCGTTGCGTGATAATGTTTTCGTTGAATTTATTTCATGATGCATTTCCACACGGCTCAAAATTCACCGGAAAATACCGTTTGCCTGAGACACTTTTACAATGGAACGCGAATGCTTGACTACGATGACTATGCATTTCCATTCTCGCAGAGTTTGGGATATCACTAATCAGCAATCATTCATTTCAGAAAGTGTACACAAGCAAGCATGTCTTGACTCTGTCTTTCAAGGTCACGCGCGGTTGCGTGATGTTGATGCATGAAAACGGCGTTTGCCGCGAAAGTTATGAATGGCCCACTCCAATTTTTTCACAGATGGTTAGGAACATTGTGACGGACATAATATGTAAAAATTACTCAAATCGAAGGTGGCGTGTTTTTTGCTATTTAAATTTTTCTGTTTTAATTCAAGGTCAAATGCATTTCAAGGTCACTTCAATTTAATTTTATAATTAAAAATCAAAGCCTTATCAATTGCCTACAAGACCCTGTTAATATCATTTTGATACCAGAAAAGGAACCAGAGTTATAAGCATTTAAAAAAATGATGTGTGGCATTTTTGGCTATATTCGATGACCTATATCTCGGCGATACGTTATCAAATTTCGAAAATATTATACGTAACTCAGTTTTGAACCATGCCCAGTCTGCCTACAAATTTTCAGAAAAATCGAAGGGGATGACGGATTTCGGTGTTTGATTTGACGTGGAATGCCCCACCCGTTGATATAAGCAATAAGCATCACTGGGTCTGTCTGCTCATACCGTGGCTTTTCCGTTAAGACTATAAATCAGCCGACGCGCTCGTTTACTAATTCATCAAAATTTGCGAAAAAAAAAATGTATCATTACTCGCAAATCGCAAGTCGCCGAGAACGTCGCTACTCGTTCATCATGGTTCAACATTCCTCTCCATAGATGTCGCTAGTAAAAAGCGCCTGAAGATATACTGTACCGGATAGCACGTAGCTTCAGCCCATAGATGTCGCTAGTAGTGAGCGCCTGAAGATATACCGTGCCGGATAGCAAGACACCACGGCCCAAAGATGTCGTAAGCTCGAGGCCTGAAGATGCACTGTACCGGACAGCTGCTTTTCCGATAATGAAGTGATGACATGGAAAAAAAAAAACGTTTGGCGAGGGTCTTATTCTAAGTTGTGAAAAAAGGCTGAATTACAGGAAAACTGAGCAATCGTTTAATGATAATTCAAATTACTTACTTAATAATTAAAAATTAATTATATTAATTATCTAATAATTCAAATTACTTGTTTGGATTTAAATAATGCGTAAATTACGGTTACGAATACAAAACACTATTGTAGGGGAGAGAGGTCATATTGCGCCATGTTCTTAAATGCGCCACACCTTCCTCCTGTCCAAAATTCGATTCGAATGAATGCTCGAATGTGTGTATTTACTTCACCACCAATAACTCGCTCTTATTCCGGTCCACGGGGGCAGGTGAGGTGTCTCAGCTTTCTCGCAGACCATTTTTTGTTATTTCCTCTATTTTCTTACGCGAAACAGTCTATTTCGACCTTTGCTAGTGTCATGGTTTATCTTAGAGATAGTGATTCAACTAATAATCATTGTTAATTGCTCGTTTAATGGTAGTTTTGAAAGATTATCACCACCGTGGCTTTGCTGTCCTCGCCATATTTGAAGCTCATGAAAAATGTGTTCCATTCGTAATTGCGCCCACCCTATTTGCGCCCTATTCTTCAACCCAGAGAAACAGCATCTGGTGGTTGGGACACATTTCATTGAACACTTTGATTATTAGAACGCTCACCTTACCATTACCTTAGCCTTCACAGCATAAATGGTTAATGGGCTGACACGTTCAAATAGGCTACTTAGTTAGGTGGCAAACCGTTGTTTTTAATAGGGCGCTTTTACATGAGAGGCATGGGCGCTTTTTGATGGGGTAGTCCGTAAATGCGCCCTTTGCAGGTGTGTCGGAAAACTTTTCTCTTGTTAATTTTTATGGGTGTGATACAAATTAGGAGTTGTAATTTGATGCCAAAATAACTGAGGTACAATTTGAGATATCATCAAGCATGACAGCTGGTCAACTTTAGCCGCAATAGGCCGATATCCTTAAGGTGGCGCAATATGACCTCTCTCCCCTACGTGACTCTTTATGAGAGCAAAATTGCCAAAACTCAGGATTTTCCTCTTACAAATTTACAATTGTCAATTAGCATAGCAGAATATAAAGATAAAAATTGTGACCAATTTTACTTTGCGAAACTCAATGCAGACGGTTTAAAACCATACGCGGTCGGTAGGACTCAAACCTACGCTCCCAGAGGGAATCTGATTTCTAGTCAGACGCCTTAACCACTCGGCCACGACCGCCGTAAGTTATTAAGTTCGGCACGAACAAGTCGAAAATGGGAAGATGCAACTAAAACATGCAATGGAAAACTACCTTCATTATGTTTGAAAACTATAAGAAAAGGCGAAACACACTCAATCCACTACTGCTTTTCATGCAGCACAACAAAAATGCTACACCGCATTTACTTAAGTCCCATCAATGATCGCTTCTTCATGATTAGTCGAGTACCATATTTTTTTTTTTTTGAATTTTGCTCCCGACAGGCCGAGGCCCTGGTCGGGGTAGGGGGAAGTTACTAGCTGGCAATTAGCCAGATCTTCCGTTTTACTTTACTTTAATGCCGGCTATGTTATTCCGGCCCAAGGCAGTATCAAGAACAAAGTTTACGTTAACCCGGCTCATGTGACGTCCGGTGGAAGCAAGTGCAAGGGAAAGCCAGAAAGGGTGCCAGAGTGGCAGTGCCGAGAGGGATTTTGAGTACTTACATTTCTTGCTGCTGAATCTTGATGCTGAAGTGTGGTAGTGTTGTAATGTGTGCTGTTGTTGTGTTGTGAGTTCCACCAGGAAAGTCCTAACTAGAAAAACCTGGTGCCTATCTTAGAGGGCAAAACCTGTGCGCTTTTGCCAAATTGCACAGGAAAAATCCCTTTGCTTTGATATTACGTTACGTTATATCGCTAATGTGTAAGTGTGTTTGTGGAGCTATCGCCTTCATCCACTCCCGGGGGCCATGGATGCAAGCCACCTAGGCCACGCCCGGGGTGTCCGGCCAGATAGCTTCGGTGTCTCGAGTGGGCCTCAACCTTTAAGAGGGATCCCTGTCGAGAACCGCGAGAGGGATGGCAGGTCCCGATTGCCGCCGCCGCCGCCGGAGGGACGCAAACACGCGCGCTCGCAAACGTAAGGGAGAACAAGAACAATTGAAACAAAACAATCACAATGAAACACGAGAAAAACCAAGAGAAACCAAGAGAAAATCATGTCTTCAATGAATTGGGGGAGAGGAGCCCACCGCCGCGTGCCGATGGTCCCCGCGGCGGCGGCTGGTGCCCGTAAGCTCGGGGCTCCTGCAAACTCCCACCAAGTGCTGACTGGTATGATTAGAGAACTGACGTTTCAGTGCGGACTCCAGTGACGTAACAATGTGACAATCTATAATAACGGGTCGTTGCGGACGGTATAGTGCCGACACCTCTGTCTACCGAGCAGATGGGGGGGGGGAGCCCGCCGCCGCGTGCCAATGGTCCCCGCGGCGGCGGCTGGTGCCCGTAAGCTCGGGGCTCCTAAATTGACATGGCCTGTATCAAATTCTTCAGG